AACCATGTAGTTCAGCAAGTACACCCCTCTTGGCTTAAACCAATCAGTTCAAACGAATACCCCTTTTGTACTGACCAATCACCCCTACCCAACTTGTTCCCGCCAGTGAATGTGCTAATCATGTTTTAGAGTTGTTATTTGATTTTCCCGCAGTGTGTGATGATTTGCTAGAAGAGGCTATGATGTATGTGAAGTCCCTGCCCTCTCCAAAAAAAGTATAAAAATGCTGCAAACCCCGGGCTCAGGGCCTCTCAGTGTCACCAGTTGCTGTGTGTGCGTGTGGAGGACTGAGCTAGCTCACAATAAACACCTCTTTGCTGCTTACATCCAACTTGGGTCTCTGGTGGTCTTTGGGGGTCCCGAATTCGAGCATAACAAGGTAAAGCACTTAGAATCTGAGTGCTATTAGAGGAGATAATTTGCTGTACAGATTTTACCTATACTATCATATATCATTATTATATAGAAAATAATGTGCAATTTAGGCTTAATTTTAAAATTGTAATAGTGGTTTAATAATAATAAATGGTCTGTAAATCTAATTAACTGCACAGATCATTAAAAGAATATAATAATTATCAATAAGAGTACAGATTTAAGAGTACAGAATGCATATTTAATAAATTCAATGCCCACTCCATTGGGAGAGGGTACTAGGTTTGAACTCAGGGGCATCTTATCACTGAGCTCCATATACCCCCAGTTCATTGTTTTTGTTTTTGTACCAGGGATTAACCTGGGGGCACTTAACCATTTAACCACATCCCTTTTTTTATTTTGGGACAGGGTCTTGCTAAGTTGCCAGGCAGACTTCAAATTTGTGAAACACCTGCTTTAATCTTCCCAGCAGCTGGGATTACATATGTATGCCATCATGTTTGGCCCAGTCCATTTTTTTTGTTTTTATGTTTTTGTCTTAAGACAGGGATCTTGAAAGGTTGCTTGAGATTGGCCTCAAACTTGTGATTCTCCTGCCTCAAACTCTCAAGTTGTTAGAATTATAGGTGTGTGCCACCAGGCCAAGCAAATACCTATTCTTAATTTAAAAAATCATCAAAATAGGAATAGAAAGCAATTTCCTTACCTCTTAGAAAATACTTTCTAAAATCTTAAGAGCAAGCATTATTAGTAATAAAATATCAAAGACATGGGTATATATGCATGACTGCATGACCAATGTAATTCTGCAACCTGTACACTCAGAAAAATGAGGAATTATCCATCTGATTCAAATGTATGATATGTCAAGATCATTGTACTGTCATGTGTAACTAATTAAATCAAATTTTTAAAAATTAAGAACAAGATAAGGATGCCTGCTGTGCTGGGAATTTGGCTACTGATAGAGTATTTGCCTAGTATGACTGAGGCTCTAATTTTGATCCCCCAGAACAACCCCACAAAAAAGTACTCTCCTTTAGAGCCAGGTGTTGTAGTACACACCTGTAATACCAGCTACTTGGGCTGAGGCAGGAAGATCACAAGTTCAAGGCCATTATGGGCAATGTAGAAAGTCTCAACCCCAAAAATAAAATGGAAAAGGGATGAGGATACAGCTCAGTGAGTGAGGTATTGAGTTCAATCTCTACTACTAAAGGAGAAAAAAAAAAGTAAGGATACCTGCTATCAGCACTTTTACTCAACATTAAGTCCTGGCTAATGTAATAAGAYGATGAAAGAAATTATAAACATCCAAAAGGAGAAAAAAAATTTGTCCATATTTCCAGGAAATTTCAAGGAGCCTATTTTTATATCCCATTATCATCAAGAGTTGAATGATATTATTTAGAACAAAATCAATAGAGAAAACATAAATTTTAAAGATCTCTTTTAAAACGTGAAAAATAGAATAATAAATTTAAGAAAAGAAAACACTACCTGTATGAATTTTATGAAAGAACATTTTAAATGACTTGAAGTATACAAAAAGATATCATGTTTATGGATTAAAAGACTGGAACTGCAGAAAAACTATTTTTGTTATTGCATTATTAGCCCTCTGAACAAATTTTATTGAAACTTGGGACCTAGACTAAATGCAGGTATAGAAAGTAATTTATGACTAATTTCAATAGTGAGAAAAGTCCAGAGATTTACCTTCTGCAGGAAATGTGTTAGCATTTCAAGGTGAAGTGGAAGACAACCTAGACAATGGAGACTTTTTCTTTGTGATGCTGGAACCTCCAGCTTATCTTTTCTTTGGAGTAATTAATTTATTTTCCAAAGGCTTAGAGAAACAACCCAAAATTTCACTTTACACTTCCTAAAGACTCTCTCGAAGGGGGGAATAGGATTAAGAAGCAAGCAGCTACCTCTTTTCTCTATTAACACCTGGTAAATGTTTTTGAGGTTCCTCCTTCACAATACAGATTTCTCATGTGAAGGGTTTTATCCAGCCAGCTCTCAGGGCATTGCCCTATATATAAAAACTGGCATACCAGGAAGCCATGTGATTAATATCTGCTGTATGTAAATGTTAACAATCTGCTCTGCTCTTCACTTTTGTGTGTGCACTCAGAATATTAATAATTAAAACAAAACTTCACAATATTATGTTAATTCTCCTGATGTTGATCTATAGATTTGATGTAAATTTAATCACAATTCCATCACAGTTTTCAAGGAATAGAGTTGCAGACTTATACAAATATGAAAATCTCATATATATAAGAGAGGTGACATCCCACAATACTGTAAAAGGAAGGCAAATGATCAATGGGTGAGTCCTATGGAAAAAAGAAAAGTTGGACCCTTATCTCACATGATACAAAAAAACTGAATTTCCTGTAGTTTTAAAGACATAAATAAGAACGATCAAACTTAAAAATTAAAAGATAAAAATTTAGTGATTTTTTTAACCTCAGATTTCTTAATACTGTACAATCCAACAAATGTACTAACACAGAAGTACTGACAAGCCTGACTACATTAAACCTAAGAGCTTCAGTTAATCAAAAGTAAAAGAAAGTAAATAAATAAGCCACGGGTAGGTATCTTTAAAATATATAACTGACAAAAGGTTAACATGTCCAGAAATTTTTAAGAATTTTTACAAACCAATAAGAAAAAGACAAATAACTGGACAGAAAAATGTAAAAGGAATATTAAAAGCCACTTTGGGAAAAAAAGAAATATAAATGATGAGTAAACATGTGTAAATATACCTGAACACTTTAGTAATTAGAGAAATGCAAATCAAAATCACAATAAAAATTATTTTAGACCTGAAACCTCAATTTAGACTAGTTTAGTCAAAAGTAATAAATCTGGAAGTACAAAATAATGTTGAACTTAGAAACTCCTATACATTACTGGGAAGAATTTAATCTGGTATACTGGAAAACAATTTGGCATTATAAAAATAGAATATTTGCTAGCCCTATTAGAAAATGGCAAAGGATCTGAATGGACATTGCTCTAAGGAAGACATGCAAAGAGTCAACGGGTAAGTAAAAAGATATTCAACATTACTAATCACCACAGAAATGAAAATCAAAATCACATAAGTTACCACTTACAACTCCTAGAATGGCTATTATTAAAAAAAGACAAAACATAACAAATGTTAGCAAGGATGAAGAGAAAATGAATTCCTTTTTTACCGTCTGTACGCTATTAAGCAAATCTCTTAAAATTCTTTATGTGTATAATCTGTTTCTTTTAGGCATTTTTCTTTTCTCAAAATATTCTAAAAAGATTTTTAGTATTAACACCTATTTAAGGAGGGTTGGGGGTATAGCTCAGTTGGTAGAGTGCTTGCCTAGCACTGGGTTCAATCTCCAGCACTACCAAAAAAAAAAAGACCCTATTTAGAACTGGAAAAATACCTACTGCTATAAAATCCAGATATCATATTTTCATCTTTATTATGTTAGCTAAATTTGACTGAGAAATCCTACCAATAAAACAACCTAGCGTTAAACCACTCATATCAGAAAACACTATTATTAAAATATTATCTATCATTAAAGCAAATAAAATATTTATCTGCTATAAATGCCAAATATTATTAAAATGGCCATAAATTTAGATAGAGCAATACTAACTATTGCTTGAAATTGCAGGAAATGCAAAAAAAATGTTCTTATCTAATTCAATTTAATCTTTAATAATTTTGTCTATTAGTTCTTTGGGATTAACTGCATCAACAGTCAATTTGTTATTATACAGTTTTTATTTAAAGGTTGTTATTTTTAATTTCTTCTAGATCTTTATTGGTAGGAAGATTTATAAATTTTCCCCAGAAGGATTTCATTATATATTAATCAGTGCATAATATATTACATCATTGAATATAATTTATATCGTTCCTTAAATTACTGATCATTTGTTTGCATTATAAAGTGTTAATCCCAACATTTTTTTCATTTGTTAATGAAAGCCACAATACCTAACATTATGTGGTTCAGGTATTTTCTCTATTGCTTGAATATTATTACTTTATATGACTGTGTTGCAGAGTCTTAGCTATCAGTAAATTTTGTTGATGCTTCCAATACTGTTTTAAATTCTACACAAAGTTCTTAAGAAAATGACTTTAGTTTGTTTATCCATACTGCTTTGAAAGAAACAGACATTTTGTAAAAATAACTAAATCAGTGATTTTAATTATAATCTTTTAAAAATGTTCCTATCAGCAATAAGTAATGAAAATGTTCCTGCATTTTAAATTTTCCCATAGATACTAAATACATTCTATAGTATATTTCTTCAAAATGTTTCTTTTTCAACAACATTCACTTTTTATAAAGTCTTTTAATTAACTTTCCAAATAAACTAAATATTCTTTCCTTAAAAGCCTTAAAAACATTCAATTTCTTCATTACAAGATAATAATCAAATGATATATATCAAAACAATTCTTAAATTTTTAGATCAACTTTTAAAAGATTAAAAGAGACTATATATTGTTAGTATTCATTACAAATGCTTTCAGTATTATGATCACAGAAAATGAAGAACACAGAAAAGGCTTTAACCATTTATTCATATGTTTTTACCTTATTTAGCTCTTCCCTTTCTTGTTGTAAAGTTTTGATTTGTTTTTCATAAGCCTTGATTTGTCTAAAAGCATCATCTAATTCTCGCCTCACAGAATTAGCTTCTTCAAGTTGCTGCTCCAAATGACTCGACTCTAAAAAACAAGACAATGCTTCTTTTACCATTAAAGCAAATGGTTGAACCACAGTTTGAAACAAATCAAAAAGAAAAAAAAGAAGTATTTGAATTTGGTATTAAGTCTATTAACACCACATACCAGTATGACTCAAGACAAGTTAAATGAATATTGATTCACTGTAAAGATAGTGAATGACATATGCTTAATGTAAAGATTTGTAAAATTTATGGGCAGAAATGCCTCATATATATTATTATAATATATGTATATATTAGTGCTTGAAACACTAATGTGTATATATTAGGGGAAAAAAAAAAGACCACGCTTCCAAAGAAAGCACCTTCAGACCAAATGAAAACTTAAAACTAAGAAAACAACAAAACCACCCAACCAAGGAGAAAAAACAAGTTTGTCTCTACCCTTGGTAAGCATTATAGGGATGATGCCTAATTTCTTTTTTTCCTTTTTTTTTTTACAGAGAGAGAGAGAGAGAGAGAGAATTTTTTTAAATTTTATTTTTAGTATTCGGCGCACACAACATCTTTGTTTGTATGTGGTGCTGAGGATGGAACCGGGCTGCACGCATGCCAGGCGAGTGCGCTACCATTTGAGCCACATCTCCAGCCCGCCTAATTTCTTTAAGTTGGTTTTGCTTCTAATAGTTTGGTTCCAGATCACTTAGTCAAGTTTCACCAGTGGCTAATTACAGAATAAACTCTGATTTTTAGAGTAAATATCTGAAAACCTCTGATCTAAATCAGTTCTTCCATTTTTTTCAGATGAAATAACTCAGGCAGTTGAATAACTTGCCTAAGGTCGTATTATTAAATGAGTTCCAGAATGAAGGCCAGAGCCCAGTGAACTTTGCACTGACTTCTCCAACTTGGAAATAAATGTTACTAAATAATGTTTCACATGATTGGGTCAGAAGGGTTGTTACTAAACAAAATTGTTAGTTTTCATATATGCTTAAATAAAATTTAAAAAACTCTTAGGAAATGATCCTGGTATCAAAAGTGAACTAGTAAATAAAAGAACTAAAGTTTGTGAAAACAGAATACTAAACACATTTATTGTTAATTCTGTTTTGGATATTTGCTATTCTTTACAACATTATTACTCTAAGTGTCAACCCCAGACAAATGGCATTAACCTTCTCCAGGAACTTAGATATACAGATACTCAGAGTCCACTCAGACCCAAAGAATCAGAATTTATATACGATGTTCAGGTGATTCATTTGTACATTGAAGTGGAACAAATGCACAAAGTATTGTATATTGATATCATCCTTTCAATAAATGAAAAAGTGTTAATATTGTGTTAGTTCTACTGAGAAGAGCATTTCATTTGTATAGACATGTCTGTAGTCTAAAAATATCACTTAAATACATTAATGTTTCAAGCACTAAATGGTTTCACCTTCCATAAACAAAATAATTTAATGATGGTCAGTGTCCTAAATGCATAGCTTTATTTTAAAATTTTGTTTTAAAACTCTGAAAGTTTATATATATTTTTGAATAGCACAGTTGACAACTTTTAAAAATATATGCAAAAAAATTTAAGAAATTTTTATTCTATCTTAATAATAGTTTTTAATGAATGTTTTATATGAACATCAGAAGTTTAGTTTTTAACATTTTCTCAAATTTCAGCATTTCATATATGAATTTTCTATTCTAATTTCCTTCAAACATGTTTAAATAATATTTTTCTGTTATTTTATACCTAGTATTTCAATAATTTCAATGTAGATATTAATTTAGGTTATTGTTTATGGTAATGACAGTCAAAATTTAGTAAGTGAAGCTACTGATTTCTGTCATTTCCTGGTACATTTTAATCAAATTTTATGGCTTGAAGAAATCATCCTAATGGTACATTTAGTAATCACTTCTGAGCATACTCTTTTATGTACTTTTGAAAAGTTCTACCCTAACACATTCGATTTTTTTGGTAAACTGTTAAGTTACTAACTTATTTCTATTGCTCTTTATAAGAAATAAATCCATATTTCATAAAATTATAAATTATATGAAGTTTATAACAAACTGTTTCATAGGATAGCTTCAATAAACTTTAAGAATAGTTTTGCTGTTTTATTTCAACTTTTTTTTKGGGGGGGTACTAGGGATTGAACCTGGGGTGCTTTACAACTGAGATACATTTCCAGCCCCTTTTTATTTTTCATTTTGAGAAAAGGCCTCGCTACGTTGCGTACAGCCTGGCTAAATTGCTGAGGCTGGTCTTGAACTTGCAATTCTCTTGCCTAAGCCTCCGAAGTACTGGGATTAAAGGCATGTGCCACTACACCCAGCTTCAGCATAGGTTTCACTTTGCTTTCACCCCAATATTTCACTTCAGCTGTTTTGCAATGAAGTAGAGAATATCAGATTTCCATGATTAACATTTCAGACACTTTAAAGATGCTTTTAGAAAGCTTAAAAATAATTCATTTAAACAGTTACTTGTGAATTATGAGAAGTACAAAAGAAAATGTTCCAGGTTAAGAAACTGTAGAAAAGAGAAACCACTCATTTTGAACTTTGAACCTCCAAAATTATGAGCTAAATGAACTCCTTTTTCTTTATCAGTAGCCTGCCACAGGTATTTCATTATAATGATGCAAAGCTGACTAATACAGAATTGTAACAATCAGTTTAAATAATAAAAATGCCATGAAACATGCATTTCAAACATTCTATTTTGCTCTAATAGATATTTAGAAACCATGAATGATTTATCTCTGAAAGGACAAAAGAAAATAGAAATGGTGGTTGTCTTCAGAGAGAAAAAAAGAGAATGAAATTTAAGAGGGAATAAAACTTATTTTCACCATATAAACTTTTTTATCTTTTGAAATTGGTAGGGCGGTAATGGGAAGGAACCCATCTAATTTTTTTTTTTTTTTTGAGAGAGAGAGAGAGAGAGAGAATTTTTTTTAATATTTATTTTTTAGTTCTTGGCGGACACAACATCTTTGTATGTGGTGCAGAGGATCGAACCCGGGCCGCACGCATGCCAGGCAAGCGCGATACCACTTGAGCCACATCCCCAGCCCCCCATCTGACTTTTTATTAAATATTCTACTATGGAGAGAAACATGCCACTGGTAATTTGAAAAACAGAGGTTTGCATTCTGAAAAGTCATAAACTATTTTACAAGCAATAAAAATCCAGGATGCTTTGAAATTTGGTCCACTAATGGGTTAAAATGGGTAAGGCAGGGCTGGGGTTGTGGCTCTAGGGTAGATCGCTTGCCTAGCACATGTAAGGCCCTGGGTTCAATCCTCAGCACCACATAAAAGTAAAATAAAGATATTGTGTCCATCTACAACTAAAAAATATTTAAAAATGGGTAAGGCAAAAAAACTTTTGAAAGAAGCTCTCATCAGACTATTTAAAAATATACATTGCAACACAATTAGCCATAACATTTAGGTGAAGTTATTAAAAACTAATTTTAGTAAATAAATAGAAAAAATAGTACTAGGAAATGGGTTAGCTCATATCAACTAAATGGTTCTTAGTACATGCCTGTTATTAAAATTCTGAAACTCAACCTGTTAGTAATGAAGACTTAATAAAAGCATCATACAAAGGAGGTACTTTTCTTTGCACTGAGGCATATAAGAGAAATATAAAATTTGGTCTCAAGTCCTCAAGGACATAATCAAGTTAAAAAGAAAAGAGTTAACACTCAATATCATAAATAAGGCAGAAAATTAGATACAAATTATGTTAGGTTATATGTGATATAGAAATTAAGAGAAGGGTGCAAAGGGAACATGATTAAAATGGTACTTGAAATGCAATACTAGAAAGCTAAGCACAGTGGCAGCATTTGTAGTCTCCATTACTCAGGAGGCTGAGGTGGAATGCTCACTTAAGTCGAGGAAATTTGAGATCAGTCTGAGTACCAGTGAGAGCCTGTTTCTAAAACAAAAGTATAACTAGTGAACTTAAAAGGGGTTACAAAACTGGAGGTCATAGAAGGTTGGTCGACAATCAAAGTATCTCCCTGATGCACAAAGAGTAGTTTCATAGCTTTTCCATAAGTTAATGTCATAAAATAACCCAAACTTCTTCAGAGACACAAAGACATTTTACTTCTAATCAACAATTGGGGAAATGAGTTCCCTAAGGTCATTTTCCTCTGAGAATGAGATAGAGACAGATGGAGAACACATGTTAGTTTAGGACTGGAGAGAAAGAGACACAGTACATGGAGATATAGAAGCCCAACCCCAAGACCATAAAAGAAAAGGAGTTTAAAAAGCATATTACACATTATAGTAAAATTTTTATTTGGAAAAATATTTTTCATATAAAAATATTAAATGAGGGCATAAATTTTTATTTTTGTCTACAGACCCTTAAATATATATTTAATATGATGCCAGGCATTGCGATTAACATTAGGAATACAGTTGTAAAACAAATTCTGTCCCTGCCCTCTAAGAACTCAGAATATAGTGAGTAAAGACAATATTAGAAAGCCAAAAAATCATTGTAGATTTATTACATTTTCCTAGAATTTTTTAAATACTAGAAATATAAAAAGAGCTATAGGAAAATACAAAATATAACATCATCAATTGGTGGGTATTTGTGTACACAAAGGCCTGCTCAAGAAGTACCTGGAAGAACATTAGATTGAGGGTGTTTTAGATAGTTTTTCCTTCAGGGTCAAGGTTAAGTAGGGGCTACTCATCAGACAGGTGTTTAGGGGAGTTATGTTTTATATCTCCAACTTTGATATAAAAATATTTTAAATACTTTGGCTCTAAGGGTGAATGAAGCACAGCTTTTATATTCAACTTTACCATCCATGTCTCTAGCACCTTGCATAATTCTTAGGATACAACAGCAAATCAATTTTTTACATACTGAAGAGTAAACAAATGTTACTCAAGAAAATACAAAATGGTACAACCAATGTGGAAAATGGTAATGGTATGGTTACTTCTCAAAAAATTAGAATTACTATTTAATCCATAATTCCATTTATAGATATATATTCAAAAGAATTGAAAGCCAAGACTTAGATATTTGTGCATTCAGGTTCATAGCAGTATTATTCACAAGAGCCAAAAGGTAGAAGTGACCTGTGTGTTCCTGGACAGATAAATGGATAAACAATATGTTTTATAGAAATACAATGGCATTTCACTCAGACTTTAAAAGGTATAAAATCCTAATACATGCTACAACATGGATAAACCTTAAGTATATTATGCTAAATAAAATAAGCCAGACACAAAATATAAATATTTTATGGTTCCACTTACATGAGGTTTCCAAAATTGTCGAATTCATTGAGACAGAAACAGAATAGTGATTACAGGGGTTAGGAGGAGAAGAGAATGGAAAATTATTGTTTAATGCATACAGAATTCCACTTTGGGATAAAAAAAAATGTTCTAGAGACAGATGATGGTGATGGTTATACAACAATGCAAGTGTGCTTAATACCACTGAACTAAGCATTTAAAAATGGTTAGAATGGTAATTTTTATGTAATACATATTTTATCAGAACTTTTAAAAGGTTACGAATTATGAATGAATGATACTGAAGAGATGGAATTAAACACAGCACATGACTGAAACTATCACATAATGGAAGAGAGCTTGGCAAGGTAATACTTAATATGGGGATGATCTTTTCTCTCAATATTTTTACTGATTCTATTCTGTCTCTGGGAGATAAAAAAAATAAGTAAAGAACAGTCCTATGAGCATTGATTTGAAATATTTTATTGAATAAATAAATAAAATTATGAACTGCCAACACTACTTAAAACAATGGCCCTTTTGATATAAATTAATGGTAAAAGATGGTATCGTGCAATTGAACAAACTATATAAAAATTTTAAAAAGACATGTCCCAATTACATGCTGCCTAGAAGAAACTAACTTCAAATAAAATTATGTAGAGAGGTTGAACGTAAAAGTGGAGGAAAAGATATACAGTACAAATATTAATGAACAGAAAGCAGGATTGGCTATATTAATATTTGGTAAAGGAGATTTAAAAAATTATGAAAGCCAGCTTAATAAAGAGTATCTATAAAAATCTACAGCAAATATTCCACTGAAAAGTGAAAGACCAAATGCATTCTCCCTAAGACTGAAAAGCTAGGGTGTTTTTCTCACCACTTTGACACAGTGTTACAAGTTCTAGATACTGAAACAAGGCAGAAAACAAGTGAAAAGCATACAAATAAAAAAGGAAGAAATAAAAACTGTTTCTATTTGCAGATAATGTAGTTGTCAGCATAGAAAATCCTAGGAATCTTTCTTTTTTAAAAGTCCTCCTAGAACTAACAAGTTCATCAATGTCACAGAATATAAAATAACATATAAAAATCAATTGTATTTCTATGAATTAGTAATAAATAAGTGGACACCAAAACTGAAAATATAATACCAGCTGTTCAAAAAATGTAACTATTTATTGCTATTCTTATATAAAATGGGCTGGATGTCACCATAGGTTCCTTTTTAGAAACTGGTAGAACATACTATAAGTAGAAACAAAATGTGTTTTGTTTTTTTTTTTAAATCACCCATTTGATGAAGTCACCGAAGAAGCTCACAACTATTTTGGTAAAGCATACAAATACTATTTATTTAAATGTTTTTTAGATCAATTCCATCTATTTCACCATAATTTTTAATTGTAAAACAAACTTTCAAAAGTTACTGCTATTCAAAGCCTCTACTATAAAAAAAAAAAAAAGTAGATCTAAGATAGGTATATAGAGTTTTCCCAAACCAAACTCCTTTGAAGATAAATCACTGCCTATCCTAGCTGGTCTTGTGTTCCACTGCTTTTATAGTGTCATACAACTCTAAAATAAGACATTCAGTTTCACTGTAAATATTTTATCATTGGTACCAAATCAAAGTAAATGATTCTGCTTATACTGTTATTAACCTATTTTTAGAAATATAAATTTAAAGAAATTTGATAAAGAGACATTTCTTAGGAAGTAAACTACTTTTATTAAAAAATAGCATTAATACATTATGTTCAAATTTAAGATATCAATATTTATTTGATAAAAACAAAATATTAATGTGGCACCTTAAATCTTTTTTAAAATAGAAGACCCTGTGTCAGTTCTTCTTTTTTTCCATTTATTTTTGCCTTAACTTGCATTTCTGGAGGGGCCCAACCATTCTAAGATAGAGCCCTCTTTCTTCTGCCCTCCACTTATTCACACATCATGTGATGTCTCTATAAACCCTGCAAAAGGTTATTTCACTCCGAATGAAAACCAAAGACCTCACAGTAATGACTAAGACTCCTGGGTTTACTTCTCTAATCTCATTTTTTTCCATTCTCTCTGATTACTTAGTCTTCCCTAGCCATTCCGTCTTCTGTTTACAACATTAAGCACATTCTGATTTTAGGGCTTTGTACTGGCTGGTCCTTCTGCCTGGAACATGTATTTCCAAAATTACATATGGCGAAGCCCTTTACCTACTTTTAAGTTTGTGCAAACATGTCATCTTCTCAATTAGGCCTATACTAGGACCTACCTTCTTAAAATGATAAAATTCTTCACATGCACATCTGACTCATCTCCTTATTCTACTCTATTTTAAAGCACTTGTCACCTTCTAACATACTGTTATCATTCATACACTTCCATATTTATTGAGGTTTTCCCCCCACTGCTTGACCTCCATCCAGGCAAGGCAAGGATTTCTGTCTTTTAAACTCAAAAATAAGAAACAACACCTGGTATTCAATAAATATTTATTGAAAAATCCATGAATGAATAAAACAGACATGTCAAATTAATTTTAACTAATCTTAGTAATACACTGAAAAATAAAATATTAGAAAGAAAATAAATTTTCACAAATCTTCATGCCTATGTATATGCAGTTCCATTCTATACAGAGTACCTCCACTTCTTCAGTCTAATTCCCTTTTCCCTGTTCATACATATGATTTGCCAAAATCCAACTTGATTTCCAAAAATAAAGTAGGTCTTTCAAAAAATCATCTTTGTTCTCTTTAAACACAAGTGCTCCTCCTATGTACACTTCATGTACATCTATTAACTTTTTCCCATAGCCTCTTTATCTGTGTTATAATGACTACTTGTATTTCTGATTCCCACACCAAAATATGAATTCCTTGAAAACAAAAACCATTTTTATTTGCTTTTTTCTCACTGATATATAACTTACAACACAATACAGGGACTCAATGGATGTTCTGTGTATAAATAAACCAGTTTTTTAAATCTACTAAAGTGAATAAACGATGAACCACAGAAATTTACCTTCTACTTGTTTCCTCAGCTTTTCAATTTCTTCTTTTAAGGTTTTTATTTCTAAATCCTTGCTTGCTGTTAGTGGACCATCAACAGTTGAATACTGTAGAGCTTGGACGGTCTGTGTTGACTCTTAAAAAAAAGAAAAGAAAATTATCAAAGTACTTTAAATTTTAAAAACTAATATTAACAGTTTTGTAGAAAATTCTTTACATAATTTTATAGACCAGAACATCTATCCATTCAAAAAGAGCATTATGTCATAAAAATTAAGTCATAAAATTGCATATCTTTAAATTATTCATATATGTATAATATATATTTATATATGAATCTACCTTCTAATACATGAGATTTTTCATTTTAAGTACTCGTGTACTCTTGGTGTACTCTGCCAGTGAATCAACTATTTATTCACTCTGTACTAAAAGAGCATTAGCATGTGATAATTCAAAAGGATCATCTGTCAGATGATACATGAACAACTGATCTGGTGTACAAAAGATTCAAACATGCTATTATATCATCTATGGAAGTGCTAGCCTTCCAAATTTCATGTATGAAAGTTGAGGCCCATCTATAGATGACTTTGGTTCTCCAATTTAGTTGAAATAGATTTATTAATTTATCCTACAGTTCTAATCAGAAGATGCAAGGAACTGAAGAAACATTAACTCTATTGAGGCTTATTCCCAGATATCATCAAAAGATAGGGGAAATAAAAAAAAACTTTAAAACTATTTTATGTCAGAAATGAAACCACCCTTTGTTCTAAAATAGGTTTCTGCTACATAGGGAAAGGTTCCCAAAAGGTAAGTCTCGCCCTTATCAAACTCTCTGTGGGTTAGTGTAAATCATTACTATCTGTTTTGTATTTAATACATACAGTTAAAGATACATATATATATATAACATGATATATATATATACACACACACATATATATAATGATTTTGTTGGTCAATGATGTATGGTTATCAAAGTATTTGTTAACTTGAATTAAAGTATAAGATATATTGTGCATCTCTCAAAATTTATGTCCAATAATTATTTCTTACATATTTCTTTTTATTTGGGTTCAAAATATACTACAAATTGATTCTTTTTGTATTTATTTTAAAATAATACCCACTGTTTTTAATATTTTTAAGGCATCTAAATTAGGAGTAGAAAATGAGCTTGCAAAATACCCAATGGACATTAAGGCAAGTTAATTTTCCTTCTATACACCGCCTGCTTCAGCATATGGATAGAGTAGGCATCCTTGCTCCTGTCCCTCCTTAAATCTCCTGGATCTGCTAAATGGATCTAGAAAATAGATCTAGCCATTTTCTATTTATTACAGCTATTCACATATCTGTCCTATATTCTTGGAGTCTCAGAAAGAAAGACTAAATAGGGCAAAAGAAATTATCTAGAGATTATGGTTTAGAATTTTCTAAAACTGATATAAGACATCAATCAGGATTGTAGAAGCTCAGTGAATTCCAAACAGGATTTTATATTAATATAAAGAATGGTATGCTTAGACACATTATCCTCAAACTGTTTGAAACTAACACTAAGAACAAGCTGCCAAAGGAGCAAAATGAAAAATTATATTCAAGAGATGAAGATTAACAGCTAACTTCTTAAGAAATATAATTAAGTTAGAAAACAATGGAATAATAACTACAGAGTTCTGGAAGAAAAAACTGCCAAGCTAGAAATCTAAAACAGCAAAAATATATTTCAAAAATGATGACAAAACTAAGAACACTTTTAAACAAATAAAATCTTAAAAAAGAATTTGTCACAACACACATTATTTAAAAAAATACAATAGGAAGTTTTTCAGGCTGAAGAAAAATTATGCTGGATAGAAACATTGATCACTAAGCTTAACATTTTTCCTTGATATTCCTATTAGTGATGTATGAACAGTAAATATATGAAGATACTCAATGTCATCATTCATTAGGAAAATTAAAATTAAAATTAGAAGACACCATCATACAGAACAGATATGAGTGGAAAAAGCTGACAGAAACCAGTTCCGGAGGTAGGGATTAAAGGAAGTGAAATTCGTATGTTCGTGAAACCATGCACTGATATAACCACTTTGGAAAACTTTTTGACAATATCTTCCATAGCTGAAAACTCTCTTCCCCAAAACCAAGAAGTTCTACAGGTGTATATCCAAGAGAAATATGTATATACGACCACCAAAAGAAATATATAAGAATATGCACAAGAACTTTACTCATAATAGTCAATTTTTGAAAATTACCCAAATGTCTACTACCAATATATTGGATAAATAAATTTTTACTATTTACACATAAAGAATGCTAAACAATCGAGTAAAATAAAGAATAAACTATTGAAATGTAGAAAACATGAATGAATCTCAAAAATCAACACATTAAATGGAAGAAGACAGATACAAAAGAGAACTACATACTACATAATTTCACTTATATAAAGTTCAAGAACAAGTAAAATTTAATGAATGGTGAAAGAAATTAGAACAGTGATTACTTCAGAGTGGTAGGACACAAACTGAGACAGGGACTGAAAGGGGACTTTTTGCTATGCTGGAAACATTCTACATACCAACGTGGGTGAAGGTTATAGGAGTCCACATGTACATAAACATTCATTGTTCATACACATAAAAGCAAAATGTGTACATTATTATATGTATATCACCATATTAAATAATCAATAAACAAAAAAATCTTGAGTCACAAGGGGGAAGTAATTCACATGCAAAGATTTTAGTATATATTAAAAAACGGAAAACAGTTGGTGCTAGTGGTGTCTGTAATCTTTTCTCTAACAGACCTCTAAAACAATGATAGTAAAATTTTATAATTATAAAAAACTTTGGTACTCTCTTAGGAGTTATAAAGTTCTTGATTATTTGTTCATACATACATTTCTTTATTCACAAAGTATATAAACTAAATTGTATGTTACATCCTTCATTTTAGAGAAAATAAATCTGAAAAGATAGAAAATGCACTTTGAGAGTGAATTATAAATAGGATGGTCAGGAAAGACATCATGGGCAACCTCAGTCAAGTAGAGAGGAGCTTTGAGTAGAGAGGTAAGCCATTATATCAAAGCAAGGCCATAAGGGCAATAGCTAATGCAAAAGTCCTAATGTCAGGGATCTACCTGGCTTATGGTTGGGGGGACAAAAACAGCAAGGAGCCAGAATGGCTTGAAATTATAAGGGAAAGAATACTAAGAAATGATTTCAGAAAGGAAATAAGAAGCCAGATCATACATGGTCTTAGGCCATTAAAATGAATTTGGTTATTATTGTGAATAAGAAGGAAAGCCATTAGGACTGGGGAAAATTCAGGGAAATAAAATGATCTAAATTGCATTTTGATAGGATTACTTAGCTGTTATGTTGAAAATAACTGTGGAAAAGCATATAGGGGTGTTTAAAAAAGGGAGAGCAGTGAGATATTGAAAGACAGAGAGAGAGAGAGAGAGAGGAAGAGATAGATAGATATGATATGATGTGGTTTAAAGCATGGTCAAGAAACCCTACCCCACAGTGAGTGATAATCAGATTTTTGGGTTTGATACCCAGTATGGCAAAAACAAAGTAAAAAAGATTCTGAATCTATTACAACAGCAAAGCTAACCTGATATGCTGATAAATCAGATGTAGGAATTGAGAGACAGGGAGTAAGGTTTTCTCTTCTGAAAACTGAAAACATGTTATAGTCTAGCATACTCTAACATTCAAAGGTCAAACTGAAGGAGCAATCAGCAAAGGAGAATGAGGACACCTTCTAAGGAAAAACAAAACCAACTGGATAAAGTGCCCTAGAAGTCAAAAAAGGAAAGTGTTTTCTAAGGAAAAAATGCTTAATTGGGTCAAATGCTGCTGACAGGTAAAAAGATAAGAACTGAAAAACAGTCACCAGATTTTGCAAGACAGGGCAGGGAAACAGGCTAAGGCACAAAAGGATTATTGGGCAGGATTAAGAGCTCACTTGAGACTAGTGTTCATGAATATGAAGTGATAGCAGTCAGTATGTTGTATTTTAAGAAAGATACCTTGAGCTCCACACACGTAGTTGCAAAGCTGCATTTAAAAAGCAGTTTGACAAACAGAAAGGAGAACAACAGATTTGAAGGCAGATATAAGAGTATGATTACCACAGATCATAGAATGAAAAAAGAAGGTATAAGATAAATAGTGAAATGATGATTGTAGGATGACACAGAATTGCTGATAACAGTGGAACTGAATAAATGTTGGAGGTAAGGCACCAGAGAGAATTCATTAGAAAATTACAAGGAGGAGATAATGGAGGAGTTGCTTAAAACTGAGATTAATAAAATTACTGTAATTGTGGAAAATATCTTGCCAGTATCAGACAAAGCAAATAAAGTAGGGTGAAGATTCAAGATTCTTACAAGTGAAGAATTAGGAAACTAAGAATCTTAGAAGTTTTACCTATATATATTTTTAAATCACCAATCATTGAAATAGGAATAATGATATAAACAGTGACAGTAGGACAAGAGCTAGAATTCTTTAAGGATTAAGAAAAAAATGATATGAAAAGTCATTAAAGTGTTATAAAGGCAAGAAGGGTCCTCATTCCTCTCTTCACAGAGGTATTTATTCTCACATATTTTACACACTTATATACCACACCCATGGAAGACATACTATTTTCTTGTTGTTTACCGTTAACTGTATGATTTTACATAAATGATATTATACTGTGTTCTTTATATATTTCTACAACTTGAATTTTTATCACTTAAAAGATTTTCTTTTGAAGATAAAACAACCACTTGTAATAGCTCCTGACACTGTGGACCCAATTTTAACAGGGAAAACATTATCCTTAAATATATATACCTTGAAGCTTTCTACTAAGTTCAAGTTTTTCCTGTTCAAGACGCTTAATTCTTCTCTCATAAGCTTCTGTTGCTAAGTTGTTATCAAGAGTCCTCTGGACATTAACATCGAGATCCAGTGAGGTGGGACCAGCTGTGACTCTTAAACAGCTCCGATCAGAAAGAACACTGAAGGGAAAAAATATATATGTGGGTTCACACTGCAATAAAAAGTCTGAAAAAATTACCTTTTGAAATTTAACACATGGATTTGAATATCTATAGAATTTTTTTAAATAAAATTACCATAAGACACTGTTAAAAGTATTTTTTGAATGAAAACTTAAATCCACCAAATGGTTCTATAGTTTAAAAAGCACAAATTTTTATAAAATTAAATTTGGTGAAGGATTAGTGGTTTGACCACAGTTAAGTATAATAGCAGTCAAAACTAACAACCATAGTGCTCTTTACCAGAATTTGAAATCTAAAATTCAAAAGGTGCTTTCCTTGATTCAATAGAAGTTAATTAAAAATAATAGAGGTGATAGACATTCAGCAGTAAAGAAAATAAATAGAAATCTTTGTCAATGTAGAGCTAAAATTTTGTTACAGGAACAGAAAGAAGATAAATAAATAATATATTCCATATACATTAAAGTGTTAAATGCTAAAAAGAAAACATGAAGCAGGGAAATGAGAAATGAAGTCTTGAGGCAGAAGAGATAAAGGTTTAGATGAAGGGATCAGAAAAGCTACTCTTGTGACAACAACTATGAGAAAAGCTAAGTAAGTGTAGGAGGCCAGCAAAAGGTATATTAGAAGGAAGAGCATTCGGGCAACTGGAATAAGAATGCAAGGCTCCTGGGTCAGAAAAGAGTTCTATGTGGATAGAATAGAGTAGAATAAGGAGAAGAACAGAAGGAAATAAAATCAGGAAAAATAAAAGAGAGTCAGTTATATAGGGCCTAGTAAGAACTTTGGTTTAGCTGTAAAGATACAAAGTCACTGAAGTTAAGCAGTGAAGGGGACTGGTCCTGAACAGGGAGTGACATGTTCTGACTTAACTTACAACAGGATATCGGGACAGGTTCAGAGAAATATAACAAAGGAGATTATGAACATATCATGTAGGAGTAAGATAAATTTGAAGTAGAAGAGAGAAAAGAGGTCTCAGCTACAGATGCATAGCCCAAATATCTGGGAAAACAATCAAGAAGAAGTTGGGAAAAAGAAATCCAAAGACTGAGCCCTAGAACATCTGATATTCAGAAATCAGGATGATTAGGAGGAATCAGGTATGGAGACGGAGGAGTACCCAGAAAAGTAAAAAAGAAAATCAGCAAAGTGCTCTAGACGTGAAGAGAAGAAGGTTAGTGATCTGTAGCCGTAGAAAGAAGACGAGACAAAGAAAATCAGTAACACTAGGAATGAGAAGTGATCACTGGATTTAGCAACAAAAGTCAATGGAAATGTGATAAAAAGCAGTATGCATGAAGTGACAGGGAATAAATCTCTATCTTGGATTCAAGAAAGAACAGAATGAAAAACACAAATAGTCAACAGTCAGAAGTAATTTTGCTATATGTAGAAGAGAGAAAAGGTTGGTAACAAATGGGATCCAGAGATATTTTTTATTTTGCTTTAGGAAGGAAGACGAACAGTGTTTTTATAAACCAAGGGAAATTATCTGCTGATAGAGATGACACATAGGCAAAAATTATGGTATAAAACTGAGCAGTGCACTGTGCTAGACAGTAGAGATAGAACGGGTTGACCTTACTTGCAAGCTATCTATAAAAAGAAAAGCACATAAGAATCCAGAGGTATGCAGGTAGAAAATCTAGTTAAAGTTTGCAGAAGTTGTCTCCTGTTGGTTTCAATCCTCTCAGTGAAACAGAAATCAAGATAATCAGCTGAGAGTGAGAATGATTGAGGTTTGGGAGGCAAATGTTAAATATGAAATTTTTATCCAGGTGAGTGGAAGAGTGAGCACACTAGGGTAAAATAGTACATATGCCAAACAACAACATAGGGCATTTGAATTTGGTGAACTTGAATATATGCCAAACAACAACATAGGGCATTTGAATTTGGTGAACTYGAATTTCTCTCGTCACTCTGAACTACATAGGCAGAGACAGAATTTACTTTTAATAACTGATGTTGACTTAGCAAAGCAAGCATAAAAGAATGAGAGATGGCCAAGGGAACTGAAGTGGCATGTAAGGAGTGATTATACTCATTCTCAGTGGAATCTAAATTGGTTGAGGAGGAACAAGAAGGTATAAAGGCAGTGAGGAATGGGTTAAAGGATGGTAACATCAATAAGCTGAAAATTCTGGTGCTTGACATCTAAAGAATATTATTCAATACCCCATGGTAGGACTCTTTCAATTCCTGATAACAGATTATGAGCTCTCCAGTGGTCCCACTGCTTCCTCTCTAAAATGAGTTAATCTTCTTGTGTATACTATTCATTTTCTATATCTAGCTTTTTCCCAACTGTAGATTAATTCTATTTTTTAAAAAATTACCAAGGCTCTCTCATACATTACATATTTTTTAAAAATCCATGTAAATTGTCCAAATTATATTAACTTTTGAAACTTACCAACTACTAGTATAAGTAAAACCAACAAATGGCAGATGATGACCAGAAAATGCAGTATGTGTTGGTGGAGGCATTGTTTCCTAAAGGAAGGGGAAAAAAATCTGGTGAAAAATAGACAGTCATGACCTGTATGTTGGGCTATAAACATTAACTGTCAATGGAAATATGTGACTATTCCATTTAGGAACACTGGTAATTTTGGCACAGATATTAAGTGATAAAAAAATTTACATCATGAACACTGGTACTATAAAATTATAATAAATGAAAATGAAGACTGAAAATTTGATAGTAACAGTACAGTCATTTACTGATATATTCTTCCTTTGCATTTTTTCTAGATGATACAATTAACTTGTAAACTCAAAAGCAATACTCAGTGTTTTTGCAACCATTCAAGATGTACAGAGCAGAAAAAAATTTAAGCTGCTCTATGCTCAGATTCCTAGCCATGGCTTGAACACCTAAAGTCATTCAAGCTTTCACACTTGTAAACAAACATCCACTACATATATAAACATTTATGTTTCTTACATTTTTGTACCTTTTGTGAGAGATTCCACTGTTTAAATGAGTCCCAAGTACAGCACTGAAGTTCTGTCTAGTATTTCTTTTTTTGGTACTGGGGTTCAACCAGGGACACTTTACCACTGAACTACATCCCCAGCCCTTTTGTTTTGTTTGTTTGTTTGTTTGGTGTGTGGGGGGGGTACATACTGGGATTTAACTGGGACACTCAACCACTGAGCCACATACCTAGCCCTATTTTATATTTTATTTAGAGACAGGGTCTCAGTGATTTGAACTCATGATACTCCTGCTTCAGCCTCCCAAGCACTGGGATTATAGTTGTGTGACATGGCGCCTGGCTTACTTATTTTTTGAGACAAGTCCAGGCTAAATTGATGAAGGTCTCACTAATTTACTCAGACTGGCCTCAAATTTGCAGTCCTCCCACTTCAGCCTCCCAAATTGCTGGGGTTACAGTCAAGTGCCACTGCACTCAGCTCTATCTAGTGAGAAAGCTATAATGTACCTTAACAGACTTAATAACATCTTAAATAAGCTTCATTCAGGCCATGAATTACAGTGTTGCTAAACATAAGTTTAATGCCAATGAATTAACAATATATGAGGAGTCTTTAAACAGCATCACACATAAAACACAATTATGTATTGGTAAGTTCATGAAAAAGTTATGACCACAAAAACCTAAACATGTCTTTCTAAGAGTGATGAATCAATGTTAGCTAATATAGTGTTCACAATAACTTTATAAAATATACTACCATGAATAATTAGAATTAACTGTACCATAAATTTAATTTGGAATGACTCATAATTTCTGTTAACAGTGAATATAATATATAATTCTAATAATAAAATATTGGTGAGGAGCTGGGCAAGGTGGCACATGCCTGTAATTACTGTTACTCATGAGGCTGAGGCAAGAGGATCACAAGTTCAAAGGCCACAGTGAGCAACTCTGCAAGACTACTTCTCAAAAATCAGGCATGGTGGCACACTCCTGTAATCCCAGTGGTTTGGGAGGCTGAGAGAGGAGCATCACAAGTTCAAAGTCAGCCTCAGCAACAAGGAGGAGCTAAGCAATTCAGTGAGACCCTATCTCTAAATAAAATACAAAATAGGGCTAGGAGTATATGGCTCAGTGGTTGAGTGCCCCTGAGTTCAATCCCTTCTATACCTTCCTCCCTGCAAATCAAAGAAAAGATTAAGAGCTGGGAATATAGTTCTGAGCTCAGTGGTACAGTATTTGTCTAACATATACAAAAACCTGGGTTCAATTCCCAGTAGAACAATTTTTTTTTTTTCAAGAGAGAGTGAGAGAGAATTTTTTAATATTTATTTTTTAGTTTTCGGCGGACACATCTTTGTTTGTATGTGGTGCTGAGGATTGAACTTGGGCCACATGCATGCCAAGTGAGCGCGCTACCTCTTGAGCCACATCCCCAGACCCAGAACAAAAATTTTTTAAAGGATGCAAGGAAAGTCTATCTAGTTTTTTCTTGTGAAGTTTTGAAAGTGTAAGAGAAGTTCTTACCTGCCTTGAGTGTATTAAGAACAGTAAAAAATCATACAAAATAAATATAAAAAATTTTAGTACAGAATAAAAACCACAAGAAGTAAAATTCAGTAAAACAAAACTCAAATGAAGAGAAGTAAAAAGGCAAAAAAAATCTACAAATTTTACATGCTTATTTTCCTAAATTTTAATATAACCTGATGAATCACAACAGAGATCAACACACCATGCTGTCCTTGTAAGAATGGTAGAATATTTTTCTAGTTCACTTGCCTGCCATTTTCCTCAAGCAGAGTCATAGCCTCAGGCTAGTAAGACTCTGGACTTCCCCCATTCATTTCCTACCAAGTTTGCTATGTTTTGCAGCAACATGATTGGTGTGGTTATTTAGCTCTCCAAATTGAGTCTTCCCCTTCTGGCAGCAAATGCTGTCTTTTACATCCAGAACCATTCTACTAGTACAAGTGTCACAACCAAGCAGATAATGAGGATGGAGGATGTGCTATGTGTGATTTTAACCAAAGCTAAGGAGTGTTTCATGAATAAATTCTCAATTTATTTCCCTTTGGTTAACATATTAAGCCATTAAATGGTTTTTGGCAGTTTTGACTAGTTTCAGGACTGGTTTTTTAGGGAGAGATTTCCCAACTCCTCCACTTTGCAATCAAGAAAGCATGCAATTTGTCTTCTTCTTAGGAAATCTACTGCAATAACTTATCAAAGAAGTTAAGTCTTTGAATTTTACTCAATTGTGAATAACTGCATTGGCCCCAGTTAACTCTTCATTTCCCTATTAAATACTGGAAGTCTTGACTATTGTTTGATTAATAACTGATAAGGTGGTCCTAGTACAATATTGGTAAACCAAAAAATTACTTTATAAGCATATTTAAAAGAAACAGGAACAGAAYTTCTTCATAATGTCATACTTACAGAATTTTTTAAACAGTCATCATCTACATCAAAATTCGATGTATCTGTTGGGCTACTAACTTCTGGAATATAAGGTGCTTCACAGTTTCTAATATTATCCCAATCAATTCCACTAAAAAATGGATGTTTCTTAAAGTCTTCTATTCCATTTTGACCAAGTCGATGCTCTCTGCTACAAATAAGTCTTCGAATAAGATCCTTAGCATTTTCAGATACATCAGTCACTTGGGCTGGAAACTGAAATCTCTCCTATACAAAGAATGACAGAAACAAAATGAGTATAGATCAATATTAAGCTTATTAAGTAGTGTAATTGATTTGTATATTTTTCTTAAAAATGTTTCATTTTTAAAATGCCTGGTAAGTATATTCTGGGAAATAGTACTAATACTAAAGGAGATATAGGGATGAATAAACAAAAGATCATTTCCCTAAAAGAACTTTTAATTTTATATGTGACTTAGTCACATTTGTGCTACAGGAAGAGTAAATACTATAAAACCTTACACTGTTATTAGAATGAAAAGGACTGATTAAGAGTGGGAGAATTCAACTCAATATCTCAATAAGATGTAGATGGTTGATAATGTTTCTATACAATACAAACTAATTACTAACTTATTAATATTAAACACTTTTAAAGAATGTAATATGTATCTGATGCTATTAAAAGTGATTTACCCCTTTAACTCATTTAGTCTTTAACACTATCATCTTAGGTATGTACTACTACTATGGAACAGGAAACCAAGTAATTTTCTCATCTAGTAGAATAACAGAAATGGATCTTGAACTGGAGTTATCTCACTCCAGAACTATGCTATTAAATACCGTGTTACACTACAATAATTTCTTTTTTTAATATTTATTTTTTAGTTATAGGTGGACATAATGTCTTTATTTTACTTTATGTGGTGCTGGATTGAACCCAGTGCCTCACGCATGCTAGGCGAGCGCTTTACCTCTGAGCCACAACCCCAGCCCTACAATGATTTCTTAAATGCTGTCCCTGATTTTTCTTACAACTAACTAATCTTTCTTTGTAGCTATTTACAGCACTATCTATGCAGGTAGGTGGAAGAACAAAAACTTATATAAAACTGATTTATACACTTGTAAAGTGCTGCAGTCCAGCTGCAGCAAAATAACCAGGCGGGGTGACGAACTACTTGTGTAGATTGATACAGCAGGAGTAGGAGCCGTTTATTGTAGGACAGGAGCGGTATTTATACATTCCACAGAGCTTATCTTAATTAGCATAAACTCGATACAGCAGTCAACCAATAAGGAATCTCCACACTTAATGGCTTGCTGGCATTACTTTACAAACCACTCCCTCTGGCATTTTGCAAGGCGCCATCCAGACTTGTTTACAGACCCTAACATTTCTCAGGCAAAATGCCAGGCGCCATCCTGACCTGTTTACAGACTCTAACAGTAAAGCAAGTAATCATAATTGCATCACCAAAACAAAAGAACAGATTCTCATTCCCTTATGGGGGATATTCCTATTCATACGTAGGATTTTTGCAAGTGCTCACAATCTTCTGAAACTCTTCAAACTAAACCTTTCCTCTTATTATGTACAATCTTTCTTATTTCACTTTGTACTAAGTAGATTAAAGTTTCTGTAAATTTCTTCCTGTCATACATTTGGATTGTTTCTAATGTTTCATGATCCTGAATAATATCAAAATAGATTATCTTGTATACACATCTTTGTCCTACTAAATATTTCAATTGGGTGGATTTCTAAAACTAAAGTCGCTTAATGAAAAGTTCTAACCATTTGTTAAGGCATTTAGGTGCATGCCTGTAAGCTTCCAGACAGAAAGATTACATCAATTTATATTCCTATCAAAAATACCTCATAATGCTCATCACAATAAATTATTTAGTAGAGTACAATTTTTCTTTTAATTTGAAAATTTGACAAGAAAAAAAGGCATCTAATTTTTATTTATACTTGCATTTCATTTGTCAATACCATGGTTGAGATTTTTTACATACATTCTAGTCATAAATCCATGCATAGTGTCATGAGCAATGACTAAAATTGTCCATTATGACCTTTGTTATTCAGTTGAAAAGACCATTCAATTTCCTACTCATTAGCATCTCCAAATAAAATATAGTAGAAAGCTATAACTAATGACTTTATGTATAATTTATGGATTGTCATGTACCTACTAACAAATGTAGTTCATTGTTTTTAGAAAAATATTTTCTATTTCCATTTAATTAAACTATATTATTTATCATAATAAACTGGTTTAAAAAAGTAAAATATATACTAACTTTGTGATTCATAATTTTCCCATATGTCTCCACCAGAGATTCTGCATAGAATGGTGTTTCTCCATACAGCATTTCATACATACAGACCCCCAAAGACCACCAGTCACACTCAGGTCCATATCTGCCTTTTCCATCTTCCATTGCTTGAAGGATTTCAGGAGAAATGTAATCTGGGGTCCCAACTGCCACTGAGGACTGGACCTGAAGAAATTTATATTTTTATTAATCTACTGTAAGATATTAGGAACAAAATAATTATATATTATAAAATTACACTTGAGATTCACAACAGACAATGTTACCTCACAACTACTACATCTTTGTCATTATCTGAATTTAGTCTCCCATTATATAGGAAACTTATATATATAGGTAAGATTTTGCATAATCTCCATGTTAGTGCTTTTTCATATTATGTAATACTATAGAATCTTTATTGTAGATGTTACTTAGTTGACTAGATTTAGGGTAACAATATGACTGGAATCATCACAGTTGTTAATAATAAACTAAATATTAGGTTTAAAATATTGACTTATTAACATCTGTATAATTAGTGTGTTTGTATATGTATAAATGGAACTGTGAAAATTTTACAATTAGAGGGGGGAGGGGACAATGAACAAAATTTAGGCCAATATTGAAGATTTTGTTTAAACTTATTGTAAACTATGAAAAATAAATGTCAATGACAATGTAACAAAGTATTTACTAATGAAAAAATTATAAAGGGGATAAAGTATATACTTCAAAACCACAGTTTACATACACACACACACACACACACACACACACAGCCCCACCAAAATTGTAGATATAATTCACTATAGCAGATTAGGTGTTAAATTAGAAAACTAGTTAACTAAAAAAGATCCTCGGTACATATAATCTAAGGTACCTTGAAATGGCACTTTATATTTTTTAAAAGCATAGCAAAAACTGAACATTCTCAAGGTAAACAAGGCTTATTATTCTTGATTTTGCACACCAAATTACTAATATCAATAATTAGGATAGGTTTTAATTTGACAACACTGAGTTGACATAACTTAAAAATTCTTCATTATGACCTCTTAAAAATACAACAGCGATTCTTATAAATATAAAAAAACAACTCTTAAAAAAAGAAATTCTGACGGGTCAATAAGCAAGAAATGGTTGACCAGGAAAGTGATAAGCATTAGAGCTGGGATGGGGTTGGAGTGTTCCTGGTTTTCATTTTCTAGGTACTTAACGATTTTAAAATACATAAGGAACAAAATGAAAAGACCCATGAGATTATGTAAGGTAGGGACTTTGAAGGGAGGCTACCTATATTATATGCCCTTTGCCTTAAGAGGTACATTATTTAGTGAAATCGAAAATTATAAAAATCTGCCACACAGTCAAGAATGACAAGAAGACTTGTTATTGTGGCTGATTTGTGAAATATATTTCTCCTGCAGAATAAAAATTCCTAATTTTAGATCACAAGTTCTTAATATTTGGGATTCTAACTCACACTGCTTCTGAAGTCCATATGTTCTCAAGGCAAAAACTGGCATAAATCTTGGCCCTATAGTCAATTTGTCTGTCTCTATGAAGCAAAGCAAATTCAAAATTACTTTGGAGGACAAATGCTTAAATTTGGCCAGATACAATTCTCACACACACACACACAMAAAAATCTCACTAAGAATGAGCTCACAATCCAATAATATAAACCAAATGGGGAAACTGTCCATTATAACTAGCAGTCAAAAATTCCAACAAACAATGTATTGTAACAAAGTATTTATTAATGAAAAAAATTATAAAGGGGGAAAATTAATTCCTAACAAATATGAGATCTTCTGTTTCAAATAAGTATGTTTAAAATTACTAAAGACACACAAAAAATTAAAAAAACAGATATATACAAACAAGTCTCAGAAATGAATTTATTGAAATTTTGAAAATACAGTGAACAAATAGATTACATACATTGAAAAGAAGGTTACACCTGAAAAAGAGCTTAAGAAGTTCATCACCATCCAGTATGAAAAGATACAAAGATGAAAGATATAGAAGAGTACAAACACTAGAATGAGTAGGTTCAATACCGTATAACATGAGAGAATAAAAGAAAGGACAAAATGCTGTAAAACAATGTTCAAAGAGTTACAGCTTTAATATTTTTCAAGAATAATATAAGGCTTGAATCCTTGGAATCAGGAGGCTATTTAGTCCTGAAAACATAAAACCAGTTCCACTTCTATACCCACTATAGTTAAATTATGGTACACCGAAGGCAAATAGATTTAAAAAAAACATTGAAACCCCCCCAAAAAAATTTTTTTGTGTGGGGTGTGTGTGTGTGAGTGTGTGTTTGTGTGTGTGTGTGTGTGTGTTGCTGTGTATTGAACCAGGTGAGGCAAGCACTCTATCAACTGAGCTATATACCCAGCCCACAAAAAGATTATCTAAGAGGTTGTGGGTGCAGCCTAGTGATAGAGCACTTGCCTGGAATGCTTCCAGGGAAGGGTCCTAAGGTTCAATCACCAGTACTGCAAAAATATAAAAATATTATCTACCAAAGAATGACAATTAGATTGACAGATGAAATATTAATACTACCAAATAGCAGTGAGAACGAATGGAATTATATCTTACAAGTAATGATAAAATAATTATCGATACAATATTTCCTACTGTATTAGTCACCTTTGTATTGCTGTGACCAAAATACTTAACAACAACAAGTAAGAAAAGTTTATTCAGGAATTAGTCACCTTTGTATTAGTCACCTTTGTATTGCTGTGACCAAATTACTTTACAACAACAAGTAAGAAAAGTTTATTCAGGCTTATGATTTCAAAGGTTTGGTCCATGGTTGGCTAACTTCATTGCTCTATACCTGAGGCAAGGCAAAACACTGTGGCAGCAGGATGTGATAGAGGACAGTTGTCAGCTCATGACAGCCAAGAAGCACAGAGGGGAAAGGACAAGTAAGAGATATAGTCCAAGACTATGTTCCCAATGCAGCTATCACCCAGGAGGTCATTCATATTATTAATCCAACAAATAGAGTAATCTACTGATGAGTTTACAACTCTCATAATCCAGTCTTTTAAATTCTCAACACTGCCTGACATATGAGTTCTTTGGGATCATTTTTAGATCCAAACCATAATATCCATCTATCTAAATTAAGATACAGTAATGTATTAAAGACATTTTCATAAAAAGACTGAGTGAGCTGTAACTTATAGATCCTTTCAGAAAAGTACTAAAGGGTATACTTCAAAAAACACAAACTCAGATTGAGGAATGTGATTCTAGAAGCAACCAAAAATAAGGATATTAGTAAATTTAAACATGTACTTACATGATTATTTATTACATAACATAATGGAGGGGGGGGGGGGAGAATAACAAGACAAGGAAGAAAATGTCAACTACTATTAAGGTAAAAAACTAAGGTGTCGAGACCGGAGGAGGAAGACGCGCCAGGCGCCCAGCCAGACCGGAGGAGGAAGTCCCCCCCAACCCGAGTGCTAGTCCAGAGGAAGCCCATCAACCCTTAAAACTCATCAAAAGGGGTGTGGCTACCAGCACAGTTCTGCAGCTGATCCAGGTACCCGGTTTCCAACTCCCCCACCCTTAGCTGCAATAACTCAAAATATTTCCTACAAGCTTTTGGGGGTTGTAGCTATCAACGCAAAACAACAACTGTACAGGCACCTGGTTTCTACCTCAGACACTAAAGTAGGGAAGACACAGGTGGAAGCTCATTTCTTTTCACACTGGCTATACCCACCACCCTGAATACAGAGGCTCAAGCTAGGAATAGACAACGCCACCTACTGGAAGCAAGGAAAACAGTGTTCTGAGAGACTTTTTTTTTCTCTTTCTTTCTCTTTTCTTCTCTCTCTTCCACAACTTCAGCATATGTGAAACCAAGAACTGTGCATGAACAACCGAATTACCAAAGTAATATAATATAGAGAAATTGCATATACCCCACCTCCCCCCATTTTTTTCTTTATTTCTATCTTACTTCTCTTTTCCTTCTCTTATTTCTCTTTTCTTCCTTGTTATTTTTTTTTCTTTTTTTTAATTCGTATTCTCTCTATCCCACTTTCAATTTCCTAACTTTTGCTATCTATACATAGGGTAACTATCTAAATAGATAGGAGGTTGAGTCTATACATTCTTCCATAAATTACCAGTCTAGTGGTTAGAGTTCTCCAAAGGTGCTAAGTTAGTTTAACCTCATACCCTCACTCCTTTCCCTCTAAGTATAACATCCTTCGTCTGAAATTTTCTATATGCCATCAGATATGGTACGCCTTTTATGAAACTAATGAATATATTCTTAAGTAATAATTAAAACCAATATCTACAGTCTTAGAATCTAACTATAAATGTATTAATAATGAAAACTTGTGCTTAGATAATGTACTATTGATATTGGAATCTGTTAACATTGTCTTTCTCCGCAAAAGAGGGATTTTGGAGCTACACAAGAACAATACAAATATATAAGGTGAAAAACATTAGCACAACAGTTTCACAAAGCTAGAAAGAATCATGAGCAGTATGAAAAGACAAGGAAAGAAAGGACCACAAACAATACAGGTCAATTCAACATTAGATGAGGTTATATCTGCAGCTGAAGGAATGTCAGACAAAGAGTTCAGGATATACATGCTTCAGATGATCTGGAGTCTCAAGGAAGACATTATACATCAAATTCAGACAATGAAAAATCACTTTGACAATGAATTGCATAAACAAATCCAAGAAGCAAAAGATCAACTCTATAGGGAGATAGAGGATATAAAAAACAAACAAACAGAAATCCTGGAAATGCAGGAAACAATAAACCAAATTAAAAACTCAAATGAGAGTATTACCAG